GGGAGGGAGGGAGGGAGGGAGAGGAGAGAGATAAAGTGACAGACTTGACAGCAGCCTGGAAGCTCCCTGATAAATGCCATCCACATGCGCATCTGCGCTTGTTTGGTCATCTTGACAGCCCGAGAAGATCCACAGTTCGTGATCCTCGCAGCGTTTGCGTTTTTTTGTTGTTTTTTCCTCTCGCATGGCTATTTAATTAGGGCTTCGGGTTTCGCTAGTTGTTTTTTAAACATTCGAACACACTTCTAGGCTTTGACTGTTGTTTAGAGGGTCTGTTAAGGTTTCACGTTCGAGTCCTCGTACTTCGCCTTGCGCAGGACATCTCTGAGGCCAGTGCCCAAAGGCTTGGCCGGAATTGACTCCTCGTCCTGTTCCATGTCTGGCTGCGGCAGGTACCGGAGACGGATTTCCTTCGAGTGGCTCTTGGAATATGCGGCCTGCTCCTCCTGCTCAAGGTTTCCGATGTAGATTTGTGCACCTTCACCGGGTTTGAGGCTAAGAACATGTGTCAGCGCCTTCATCTTCTGATCTAGAACCGCCTCTTCCTTCTTCACAGAGGCATTGAACAGGTGAGAGATGGACAAGCCGATGAGGTAGTTATAGCTCGCCTCGTCCTCTTCGTAAGCATTCCCTCTCTTTGGGTACTCCAGCTTCTCCATAAGCTTGACCATCTCGTCCTTGCTCTTCTTCTTGAGATCCAACTTGCCAGAGTTGATGTCCTGGTAGAAGCGCACCGTGGCTGCGGCCTTGTTCTTCTGATCTGTCAAGGCCTTCACCATCTTCTCCTTTCTGGCTGCTGTCATGGGCCCCTCCTGGACCACCATTGTCTCGCAAAGGTTGGCCACCGTGGCAGAGTGGCAGCAATCAAAGATGCAAACTGCCTTGCAACCTTTGGGCAATGGATCGTAAAGCTCTTGGTGGATCTCGGTATCCAGGATCACAGCTTCTGGCCACTTCTTATCAAGGCAGTCGAGGGGGCAAATGCAGTCTGCCGGCATGCCCTTTTTGTCAAGCTGATACTGAGAACCGTGACCGCTGTAGTGGAAGAAAAGCAGATCCCCAGCCTTTGCATCTTTGTAGAGCCACTGCAGCCCTTCGATGATAACCTTCTTGTAGGGCCACTGGCTTTTGTCCTGGTCCTCGTTGAGCATGAGGATGTCCTCCAATTTGAAGCCGTACTGCTTTACCAGCACTTGCTGCATGTTGTTCACATCGTTGATGCAGCCGTGCAGCTCTGCACGAGTGTTGCGATAGTTGAGGCCAACCAACAACGCCTTCTTCCGTCCGACAATGTCTCGAGGCGCAGCCAGGATCTCGAACTGGGGATTCCCGTCGCTGCTCGAACAGCACCCTGCATTTCCCATGGCTTCAAGCTTGGGCTTAGAGTCTACTTCTTGACAGTGCAACGGCTGGCCAGATTACCCTTGCATGGTGAGGGTGAGACCTGAACATTTCCCGTATTTCTAGCAGCATTCGCAGGCCTTTGTGCAGCCTCTTCCTGCCTCGGATCACAGGATAATTACAGGTCCTCTCACAGTCTCGACCCAAGCCGAAGGAGCAGCTTGGGTTCAGGCTTCTGCTTGTGGGCTCTCTTCTGGTGGGCCTCACTGAAGTGTGCCACGGAGCTCATGTATAACCAGTAACTAGGATCCAGTGCCTAAGCTTAGACAAACTGAAGCCTCTCAGCCTCAACGACTTGCAAGGACATCGTCAAATTCCGCCAGAGACACTTCTGTGCCCTGCATGACACAACGTACCCTCTCCACAGCCTAGGCTTTTTCAGCAGATGCACAAACCCACCTTGCGCGCCTATTACCCATCTTGACACGACAGCCTGGCCCGAATTTCGCCTGTCAACCTGATGCTTTCCGGATTTCAGAATATCATTAAAGTATATACCCTGGTTCTCCATACTCTGCGAACACCGAAGCTTGCCTGGCCTTGGGATGCGAGGGCTGGCGTCCCTCTCGATGGCCACCAACCTCATCGCTGTCTTCGGAATGGGCAGCAACATCCGCATCTCTGGCATGAAACATCATGAAACCAGACACCCTTTTGAAAGCACGGACTGAGTTGCCGGCCATAAAACCAGACACCCTGAATTTTGAACCCTTAATCCTTTTCCACAGGCTTGAAC